TAATAAAAATTATATCTGGAACATTTCCAACTTTTCTGCTAACTCTAAAGAATAATCGTGGCAACAAAAGACTCATAAAAATAATTTGAAAATCATCATAGACCTGAAACATAATTTTCCTGGTGTGGTATTACTGATATCTGGTAAATTTTCAAAATAGGAATTTCTGTTGTAAACATAAAGTGATCTTTGATATGACCAGTATAATTATCCTATGTTCCATTATTCAGTAATATAAAGTAAGACTTGACTTACAGGTGGATGTTGACATTGTTTTTATACTGATGCTTCTTTTTAAACAATGAGCCCTTTTTAGTCTTTGATCATGAAGCCATTTAAAATGTCCTCTTGGTTTTTAATAACTTTTAGGAAAATCCATAAGTTGTTTAGTAGCAGCAGACTTTCTACCCAGGAAGCACACAATGAAGCCTCCCTAAGTGCCTATTGTCTGCAGATCACTGTATTATATTCCCTTTGCCTCTGCAAGCTCAGTTCCTCCTCCTTTGCTGGGGCATCCTCCATTTTTTTTTTTTTTTAATCATTTGGTTACACAGAACAGCCTTGTGTCATTCTTTGCATGCATCATCCCTGGTTTTTCCTCTCCTCCTGCATAATGGCCCAGCTTTTCTGAGGATGGCTGTTGTCCCAAGTGTGATCCTTTACTAAAATGGGAATTGAATGAAAGTGAGCACAAATTTTCTGGAAGCAAACGAAAACCAGCCATTTGAAAAGGACCCAGAAAGAAACAAGTAATGAACCAGAGTGGCCTCCATGAATTGCTGTAGAGGGAATTCTTGGTCTCCCCACCCCACCTTTCTCTCTCTCTCTCTCTCAAACACACACATATATACACACCAAGAAAAACCTAGAGGGAGAATCTCAGTTGGAAGCCTGCCTCCTAGGCTGGTCTGGACAGAGGGTTGAAGTCAGTAGCCCTACAGGTACTAACAGAAACAAATGTATTTTATGACTAACAGTTAAGCATTCAAACATGCCGCTTTGGAACACAAGGTACATTGAGGAGTTGACATCTCTTCATAATTCATGTTCATTGTTCCTCTAAGTAAAATATGTGTCTCTCTTTAGTTATTCTGTTAGGAATTGTACTTTAAAGGCAAGAGGACATTTTTGATAATGCACATCTTAAGACTTTTCATTAAAGTACCAAATTTAAATTCTACCTTTTTGTGCACTCTGACATTTTTGTCTGGCATTTTCATTAATTTTGCGACATACATAAATGTAGCTGAAATGTTAACTGATCAATACTTTGTCTCTCTCATGTAGCACTAGCGCTCCATTCCCCAAGGACCACACAGCAGAACAGAAATTAAATGTGTAAAATATCAAATGTTAATGTTAAACACAGCGGCACTTACTGTATAACGACAGAAAAGGCTAAAACAATTCCAAATGGACAGATGGTACCACAAATTATCTACAATCACATTTAAAGATTAAAGTTTGTCCTGTAAAATAATTCTTTGACGCACACTGAAGTGTGTCCTTTTACTGATAGCTCAGTTGTCCAATTATTTTTGTGCTCATTACAGTGAGAAATTACAGTACTGAAAAGAGAGAATGTACACTCTTTTTCTTTTTTCTCTTTTCTTTTTCCCATTTTGCACCCACTGACATCCACAAGAACACAAATGTCTGGTCAAAAGCCTGATGAAAATTAGGCCCAATTTATGAGGCATTTCCAAGTCTATGATAGATGATTCCCAGAGACAAGCAGCGCCTACACGCACACGCCTGTGTTCGCTCTTAGGTAGACGTTACTCACAGCAACATTCAAAACCCACTGCATAGTGCTCAAAGGAAGGCCATTCCCAGAAACATATTTGCTTATCTTTTCCCTCCCCTTCCAGACTAATTTCAGTTTCTATTGTCATCAGCTGGCTTGGAATCCTCCCCATAGCGTACAGGTAGTGCTGTGCAGACTGCAGCTGCCCTGAGTCTGCATTTCTTGAGCTTTCCACGTTAGTTGTCACTGGGACACTAAAATGATGGTTTTTCTATTTTGACTTATATTTTTGGAGAGTAAATTAGAAAAGGAAAGTAAAACAGAATAGAAAAAAAAATACCTGCTTTTATAAAGTTTGATCTGGGCCTAAAACCAAGTTGTATAATGGTACAAATGCATGTGCTCCATGAGGCAGCTGCATTTATGAAAAACTGGGCCAAGAGGAACCAGTATTATAATAATAGACCCATGATCCATCAACAGGGCGTGACAGGAACAGTATGTTTGTAACAATGGGGTGCTGCTCATACTCTTCTCCTAATGGAAAGCACTCTTTTTCAATAAACTGGCCTAAAAAGGCTCCAGTTAGGTAATGAGATCTTTGAAACATTTCATTTTTAAAATACTCACATCATTTAATATCTATAAGATGAATAAAAATCTTACAACAGTTTTGAACTTTATGTTATTAAAATTGTAAGGTATATATTTTAAAGGGTCTTTTAGAGAAGAAATAAAATCTACTGTATGGCCTTGGGCAAGGTAATTAACTTTCCTGTGCCTCTGTATACTGGGAAAATAATAGTATCTAAGTACCTAATGATATCATAAGGTTTTGGGGAATATTAAATTCATTAATGCATGAAGGCATTTTCATGTGTTAATATGTAAAGAGTGGTTCCTTGGCACATAGTAAGTACTTAATAAATACCAGCTCTTGTTATATAAGAATCTTTTAATATCAGAATTCAATCTGGGGTTTTATATTAATAAAGGATTATGGAATAGTTTAGAATTCAAATGGAAACTATAGAAAAATTACTACAACAGTATTAAGCTGCATGTATCATGATTTAATAACTAGCCTTATTCAATCAAACCCTTATCTGTCTGGCGAGTAAATTTCTCCACATAAGAAAAATATTCATATTGATTGATTGGTTCATTAATTGGTCAATTGATTTAGTAAACCATTTATATAGGGAGCTTAGTAACTGCTAGATATTTTGCAGATGACACTGGAGTCCAGGATGAAAAACACAGGGTTCCCATTCTCAAGGAGCTCCTAGTTGAAGTCTAAATAAATAAAGCTTGGTTTTGTTATTCATTGTTGTTTAAATCACATTCAACAGAATGTAATTTAGCACTTCTTTTTTTTCCTATGAAACTGTTAATATTATTGTTTCTTCTCAAAATACTCTTAATGTGTTTTCACATTGTTGTTTATAGCCTCTTTTTTTTTTCTTACCCTCAGTGTCCAAGGTTCTTTTCCTACATTTATTATGCCTGCTCTGCTTTTTGTGTAAGCCTCTTGCATTCAGCTGGTGTTTCATAGGACTGTCTGTTACAAACCGACCACCAGAAGAGAGAGATTTTTATAGTTCTTCCCCAGTGAAGTTTGCCCCCTTTCAATGAAATCATATTATGTTCATGTACCTAAATTTCTCAGAATTTCAGTGTCTGGATTTTATTTTTTTTCCCCAGAATCAGAAAAAAAAAAAGTGAAAAAGGGCTGCCATCTTGAATATATTTTACAAGAGTGTCCTTTAGAAGCCTCAAGTTTATGAAGACTTACGTAACACAGAGCAAAGCTCAAGAGTTCACAACAAATGTTTCTGAACAAATTATATAAATATATACACTTTTCTGTGTTCAAATTTCACAAACAGCTATGGAGAATAACTTTGGAAGGAGTGAATCAAAAATGGCAGCATGACCTTTCCAGTAGAATTTTATTGCTGTTATAAGGCCTCATAGAACCTGGAAGTAATGATATAAAATATACATAGAAACTCAGTATCATTTTTTCTCATTAACATCAAAGTGCCTCAATGCTAGTGAAAAATCAGAACAAAGTTTGTTTTACAGTACCCCAATATCTTTATTATGTGAGAGGACTACTAAAAGAGTATTTAGAGAGGGAGTTGTTGTCCTCCCCCCCTCTAAAACTTAATGATGATGACAGTCACTTTCTTTAAAGAGACAACAACATGTCTATGGGAAGCAGGCTGCCTAACTTTCTGGTAACTTACAACACAAAGGGACATACATACTCTTTGTTCATGTGCTCAGACATTAATGAAAGTCCCATAGAAGCCCTGAGAGGAGGACAGAGCTCAAAGTACTAAACAGATGTGCATACATTCATTTGAATGGTAATACTAAAATGTTGATTTGTTACTATAATTGAGGCTTTTCTTGTAAGCCCTCATAATAAAGTCGTATTTTGCAAAACTGGCAACTATAAGGAAACATAAGGTACTTATATTCTAACAAACATGAAAATAAAATAAAGGATTTCAAAAGACAGACTCCACTTAAACTTCAAACTGAAATCCTGAATAAGCAAAAATAATGTGAGAACAGAAAATCCCAGCTAAAACATAGAGGAAATTATCTTTTTGGATTTTCTGGCCTTGCCAATTGGTCTCATCAGCACTTTTTAAATAATCAAAAAGGCTACAAGATGAACATTGTTAGAGGACTATCTGGATCCATCGAATTCTTACTTGTGACTTTTTAAAAACTGGAAATCTCAGAAGTAATAAAATACTCTTAAATAGGTCACATCCACTTCCAATTGATTCACATATTAAAGCATTACATACTACCATTCTACTGCCAATGATATTCATATTTGGGAGAAAAAGACTATAGAATGAATAAAATCAAATTGGGGATGGTCAAGATTATAACTATTATTATTTTCACATTGAGGACTTTTCTTGGCTCTCCTATTGGGATTTAGAATTATGCAACATGCAAAATTTTACTTTTTAACTGTCACAGAGAAAATTATACATTGGCTGAGATGTCTTGCGTTCCGGAAATCTGGGGTGGGGGGTGTATTCTTGGACTCAGACCTTGAACAATCCATCAGGTTCCTGCCCACGGCAAATCTGTCCAGTCAAGTCTTAAAATAGGAGTTTTAAAATGGCCACATCAACATAACTGTTACTATAGCCACAGAAACATGCAGCTATGATTACTGAATTTAATGAATAACAATGTAAGTAATACAGAATGATCATACCACAAAAGCAGCTAGACTCCTTGGGGGTGAATCCCAGTCAAAGCAACTATTAACGTAGTATGCAGCATTCACCAGCACCATGACACAGCGTTTCGTTCTGATAAAGTTTCTTAGTAGCAGCTGTAAGGAAAATGAAAAAATTATTAGAATCTGCAAGATGAAAAAATGATCAAATAAATGGCAAAATTCTTCAAGTTTATTATGACTTAAAAAGGATTCAGGGAGTTAATAAAGCCATAAGAACATACTAAGCAATTTGGCTCACAAGTTTAAGAGAAAAATGTATTTCTGGAGAAAATGGAAAAAACTGACCTGTAAGAGCAAGTTCTTAGCTAAATATATTTGAAAAAACAATACTATCATGTAGGTTGGATTTCTTTTTTCACAAGAAAAAAAAATTCTAACAAATTTAAAAATTGCTATTTACTGAATAATTATTAATTTTTAAGCTCTTAAATCTTATTGTGATTTTAAGATTCATTAAATGTCTTAACTTCAACATATTTCAAAGTGAATTGAATACTTTGGAATGTTTTTATTTCGTCTTAGAGAAAAACCTGTCAAGTATTGCTTATTATAGAAAACAAAATATTTTCACCTTTTAAATAAGATTTCTTCCTTTTTTACTAACATGTTCTCTACTAACGAATCTCTCTCCTACCTTAAATGTAACCTATATTTTCTCATTTCTTATTTTGCATACTTTTGGAGATCAGGAAAAATATTATAGTAATTAAGTGTGCCATAAAATATTTAATTTGAATGGTATATGAGAGTTGATATAATTTAAATTTAAAACTATAGCATGATTTCAACAGTGAAAAAAATAGTGTACATGCTATATAATGGTTCAAACAATTACGTACAGGTATCTTAACAGTTAGAACAATCATATGTCTGCAGGTTAATATTTTGCTACTCCAAATATACTTAAGTACTGCTCTGATGTTTTAAAGAAGTAGCTATGTAAAGTTCACTGAGGCTGTACAGCTAAAAGTATATGTGTGTAAATACAGATGCAAGTATGTGCATAACAATTTTAACACGTTGCTAAAACTGCAATTCCATTTAGGCAAAACGAAGAGTCTCCCTATTTATTTCACCTTCCTTTAAGAACATATTTTATTATTTTTATCTATGTAGAGAAATGTAGTCTGAATTCCTGTTTAGATAGATATTGCATTTGTAGCACATACACTATATTTAAATATCCAAAGATCTCACTGTTTTGGGTAGATTTCTTAGATTAAAAATAAAATGATTTCAGGTTTCTAATGGCATGGAAAATTATCAAATATTTCAAGGTGCTAATAAGTTCAGTAAATTTTAAAGCCATAATAAGTGCAGTTTATTTTTTGCTCTGTGATTAGGTGTAGCATTTTTGTTAAAAGGGGTAGTTTAGTAGCACTTTTTAAAAACTTTATATCAAACCAAATTTAAAATTATAATTGATAGGTATCGAGCTTAATTTAAAAGTCTTTCATGATAGAAAAGTGCGATTTCCTGGATTTCTATTTTCTTAGCTAAAAATGGCAATGCAAGTTCAGTTCTGAAAGATTGTAGTTAAAAATCTAATTAACAGGAAGGTTCCTCTTAAAAGATGGAGCCCCCTCGCTGGATTAGAGGGAAAAGCTTTATTCGGCTCACTTTACACACACCTGCATCATACCTGTGGGTGGTCTGCACACACATTTGAACCTCAGCTTTTGGCATTCTCATTTGTACACTCCATAGCAATCAAATTGTATGTTATGTTTGAAAAGATCATTCTTTTGCTAAAACATGACTACATATCCATTATATGCAGCACCTACAGTATCCCTTGTTCTTTCTGACCACCCCCATCCAATGTATTAGTTTGGTATTGTCCTGGTTTGATCTTTTAAAGAAAGGAAGGAAGAGAGAGAAAGAAAGAAAAAAGCGAGCCATTTTCAATAAGTAGATGACCAAAAATTCCATCATCTTCCCCCCTCCATACCTCCAAAATTTATTTGAATTTACTTAGATGTTTTACAGATATAATCAGGTCTTCCCGGAGGGATTAATCTTTCCTTGCTTTTTACCTGTTTAGAGAGTCTGTTTTCCTCTTCAATGTACTTCTGTTCTTTGGGTATTAATGTTCGTAAGCTGGCTTTCACCTATACATCAACATATGTGTCTGTTATGGATTAATATATTACAAATGTTTACAAGTTTTTCACGCAGTTCAATTTTCAATAATTTTTCAAGTTTCAAAGTCCTGGCTGCTGTGCTCATAAAATATAAATGTATACAGTTGCACATGCATGCACTTCCTTTTCTTAGGCAGGCAGGCAGCGGTCAGAGCACAACCACAGCAGCAGTCGCCAACTATAACAGAGAGTGTGGGTGTGCCAGGCAGTGGCAGAAGCGTATTCTCCAGGATACATCAAGGTTTAGAGAAAATGAGGAATGACAGAAATTCTCTACAAATCAGGAACAAAAGCTTTCATGAAACTGAACTCTTTAGCAGTACAAAAAAGCCAAAGTTAAGACTTACAGCATTAAAAATCACATCTATTTCAAGATAGATGACCCCCTTTGTTGGCCCTGTCAGCTGCTTGTTTTTCAAGACGTAGGCTTTCTGTTCACCATTTTGAATCTGCGGGAAAAGGACATGACAGCCGTCTGTCTCGCGGTCTCCACTGAATACACTCCCTCAGTGACCTTTGACCCCCAGCTGCTGAAACTGACAGAGAACCCAAAACAACTGTGGCAATTCTGACAAGTACCTGTTCATTACCAGGATCAAGTCTGTCAGGAAAAATTAACTATCATGGGATTCAACATGGCCGTGAATTGAGTATGTTAAAATTTTTAGTGTTCTTATTACAGACCTTGGTTGAGAAATGACAGACATAGAGCTGAGGTTTTTTTTTTTTTTTTTTTTTTCCTTGAGCAAAAGCAACACAGAACAGTGTGTCAGGTGAATAAAACTTACAGACAGCAATGGTATAGCAACTTTGCCCAGAAAGTCAGCACTTCGATCCCGATCTTCATCATAAACTGTCACTTCAAGAACGGAATGAATATCTTTAATGTTGCTGCATAATAAATATATGTAAAAAATAAAAAAGATTTCATTAGTGGGAAACAAGAACTAAAATGGTTTTGAAATTTCAGATAGCTCCAGCTGATTTTGTATGTGTATATTTTTATGTGTGTTATTTGCATATACACATACAGGGCAGCTTGGTATCTGACAGAATTTCCCATAGTGCACCCTAGTTGACTACAGTGATGGTTCTATTATCTAAATCTTTGAAGAACACTGTAATTTCAAGTTATAATTTTTAAAAATGAAAAATAATTTCCCATCTGCATGGGCAAAGAATAAAGTTAATGAAAAAAATCAATAAGTGAACCTGCTGTTTTTTAGATTTTTTTCTTTTCATTTTAACAATAAATCATATTTTCCCACAACCCCCACATAAAACACCATAAGGTTTGATATCAGCAAGAGTCACCATTTATTTTTTATAACTATTATTTTTTATAATAATAGAACGTGTCTTTTTTGTTTACAGCTCTCACCAAAACATTGACTCAGTTTCTGTTATGTTCTTAGTGGGAAAAAAAAAATGAACAAACACAGAAAGCAGAATGGTGAATATGTAACATTTATAGCAATTGTACCACCCTGGAATTTAGAAATTAAGTGATGTTCCATTATGTTCTAAAGACAACATATGTTAACAAATGACTGTGTGAGTTCTTCATATTCTTGTTTCTAGAAAAATAAATGCAAATTGTTGATAGCATTTATTCTTGGATCAAACTGTTTGCCTAGAAAACATGAATTAAGAGGAAAAAAAAAAGAATATTCATTACTGAAAAACTGCAACCACATGTGAGAAGAGGCTTTATCAAGGCACAATCAATTAATGGCTTTGATAATAATCAAACCTATTCATTTAATTATGCATTCCAGAGAAAAACACTCTCCACAACCTTCTTAGGAGTGCAAGTCTCCTGACTAGGCTTTCATCTTTTATAAAAATGTGGAATTCCTTAAAAATAAATTGGTCAGATAATTAAAGCTGATTAGTTACGGGCTCTTAAGGAAAGGCATTATAAGGAATTAATGAAGAATTTAGCACTTTTTCATGTACAAAATAAAACTGTGTTAGAAAACTTTATGTAGTACTTCTGTTTGGAGAGTTTTCTTTTGTTTAGAGTTCATTTCTAAAGCTCAATTTAAAAAAAAAAAAAAACTTAGGAAATACTATAGTGTAACATCGGCAGCTTTTACAGTGCATGATTGAAAAGATTTCCAAACTTTTTAAAACAAAAGGAAAATTAACTCAAAGGGTGTTTTGGTATCTAGGACAATACTTAATATTCTTATTGTGCTAAAATGAAACAAACCAAAACTAAAGCATCTGCCGAATTCGTGACCAGATTGTTTGCTGATTTCAGCAATGGAACAAATAGAGCTTTGTCCTCCTTGGTGTCAATGTGATTGGGAAGAATTTCAATAGAAAGTATAAAAGGAAGAAGCAGTATGGCGATTCTGTTGATGAGAGCAAAACCCTTAGTGAAGTCATATGAAAAACACAGTCGTATAAAGAACTCAGTTTAAAAGATGTCTGTGAAAACAGAACAAAACAAAAAATGGCATACTTCTTTCCCCAGGTCTCAATTCTCAGGAAGGTAGTCATGAAATTTCCAGTTGTTAGCAAAGACAGGTCAGATACATTGAGTTGTGAATTAGCAAATAATAGACAGACACACACACACACACACACAGAAGTATATTTCATACAGTTCTGAAATGAGCTCAAGGTAATGGTTACTTACAATGTGAAGACTTTGTTCCACTCAGGATTGAGATTTTTGTAGACGGTATGTGTTAGCAGTCTATCATTGTTCAGTTCTACTACACAAAATGGGTCACTTTTACCTACAAGATATTTGGGGTGGACATTTTTAGTATAAATCGCACCCATCATTTACAATGTCATGTTCATGACCATGTTTATTTTCCAAAAGTTTTATAGTAAACAAAAAGTCAAGTAAAATTTTAAAAATAAAACAACCCATCAAAATAGAGTTAGATGTACTAGATGATGTTAGCAATCATAATGATTCACAGCAATTTAGAACCTGGAAAAGTGAAAAAGACCAAATTATATAGCTTAAATTTCAATTTGCATTTGTTTTACAAAAATAATACTATAATGAGAGAGAATGTGATGCACGTCCATCCCTAAATCAGTTGTTATTTAATTCTATAAAGATCATTTGAAATGTTCATCTCCTTCAATCTTATGCATATATTTTTCAACTCATCTGATTGACTAGTAACTTGTAACTAAATTTCTAAACAAGTTTATTTTGAGAAAACTGCTATTATTGCAGAATTACAACATTTTAATCTAAGGCTGAGTTACTTTCTCCTGAGATATCTATGGAATCATAAGAAGTAAATTAGAACCTCTTAGGCAGAAAAAAATTCTGCCATTTGAAACTTACATCAACAACCAATCTGCATGTTAAGAACAGTATTTTTTCTGTTTGCCGAAAGTAAAGGATTCTATCTATCATCTATTTACAGCGACTTTGCTCTGCCAGTCAAATCTCATCCTTTCTGCAATTATGTTTTGTGATGTTCTCAATATTTTTGTAAGGTCATGTCCCGTGTTATAAGAACCCATAAAGTCAGAGGCTCTACGGGAGCAGCATTAATGATATTAGTGCAGCATGTAATTTGTTTGATACCTTATACAAATGACAATGAAATCAATATTTAGACAAAGCTGTCCAGAGGTCATATCTTTTAAACTACAATATTGATTTAGACTACATAAGAGGTTAATGTGCATATTATTAACTTTAATGGTAAAGAATAATTGTTTTAAATGCATTGTGAATTGTACTCAGAGTAGTTTACACTTGTGCGAAAGCTTAAATATCATTGAAGATTTTCAATTAAATTTTAATGAGAAGAAATGTATCAGCTACCAGTGACAAATAAGCTATGTATGTATGTATTCCCATACAGCAGTGTTATTCACTTTGTATAGTGTAGTTCTTAAAATGAACTGCACAAACTTTGACTCACTTTTAATTTATTATTTCTATATTTTAAAAAAAGATTCAATATGTGTGTATAAGTTCAGTGGGCTCATATATCCTGGGATAATTGCATGGTTTAACATTTTGGTAGTCTTCTCAATTTGGAGTCTTGGGAATAATTTTCAGTAAAGAACAGGGAACTGGAAGTCTTCAAGGTCTGGTGAAGATTTCACTTCTGGCTTAGCATCTGTATTGTTTCCCCCACCCCCACCCCACCACTTCTTCATTGTTCTTGCCTTTACCTACCTATACCACCCTCACTTCCAGCTCACACATACGCTATGGAAGATAGTGTTTAAAAAAGAATATTTTCTTCATTAAAACATATTGCAACCTGTTTTATTTGGTACATCATCCCATAGAATTCTTGTACAAGCATGAAAAGGCAGGCTCAAATAGTTCTGGAAATATACTTAACTGTAAAGGTCTAGGCAAAATCTTCCTAATTAACCATCATCCCATGGTAGTTAGTAGGCCACATACATAGGAAAAGCCATGCTATTTTGATTCTAGATTCATATATTTAACCACCAATATTTACTGCTTACCAAGTACCAGACAGTTTTCTATGCATCAGAGCTTTAGCAGTATATAAAACAATTGTTAAAAATGCCTGTCCCCGTGGAGTTTACATGGAAGAAGAAGGCAATGACTAATTTTAGTTTTTTTAGGTGATAAATATTATGGAGAAAAATAATGATGAAAGGTGACGGGGAGTGCTGGTTTAGACATAAATTTTTCAAAAGGGCCACAAGAAAGGTATCTCTGAGAAAGTGACATTCAGGCAAAGCAATAAAGGAGGTGAAAGAATGAGTCGGGTTAGCCAGAGAAACAGATCTTGGAAAGGCCAAAGAAGTGGCTATCCCTGGCATTTCCAGGAATATCCAGGAGCCAGTGTGGTTGGAGGAATGGATGAGGTGGTGGGTAGGTGACAGAGAGGTAGGAGGAGAATGGCAGGCCTTTGAAAGGACTTGGATTTCACTCCAACTGAGAGAAAATGCTGTTGGGGGGATTTGAGTTGAGGATTGATATGATCTGATGGCTGTTATTTGAGAATAAGGTAGCAGCAGGGCACAGGAGGAGGTAGGGAGAAAGTCAGGAGTCTATTGAGATAATTTAGTGGTAGAAAGTGGTTGGATTCTGGACATATTTTGAAGATATTGTCAACAGGATTTGCAGATGTCAATATTGAACAATCTAAAATGCCCTAAAGATGGAAAACAATTCATTGAGCGCCGCTAAGCCAGTACTTTTTCTTTTCTATCTTCTCTTTCTTTTTAAGAATAAAAAGCATTCAACAAGATTCTCAGACTGGATAATTCTAGAATCTGACAGAGGAAAATTTAGGTAAGAAGAGAGCAGGAATTTTATGTTTCTTTTGTATTCATCTTTTATTTCTAAAAAGTTATCTTTTTGCAGTGTAAGTTAATGGATGCCAACATGAAGTGTTTACACACAGTTGCTTTTCACTAATTTAGAGAGTATCCTTCCACTGTGTGATCAAGGGCAATTAAAAATTAGCAGCAATTTCAACTGTAAATATTAGATTCTGTAAACTTACCATTAAAAAGCATACACTTTAGTTTTATTTTAAAGAAGTGGCTACACATAGTTAATGTGCTTATCTGGCTTGCTAAATACTGTTCTAAATGACTGGCTTTTCAGTTTCTAAATTTTGCAGTCTTGATTATCTGCCACTTAAAAAAAAACAATTTAGAGAAATGCCAGTGATGGACCTAACCATTAATTATCTCTTAATTATTCTTTCCTTTTATCTTTTTATCTTTTTATCATTCCATTTAGACTCTGTGTTACACTGCTCTGCTTGCTGAGAGTACTGAGTTGTGGGATTGACTATGGGATGCAATGTTGAAGTCCCTAAAGTGTACTTTTTCTGCAAAGATCCAGGGAGTGATACAAAACAGTGCCCTGAAATGTTTTTGTTCAAAATCATACGGTCAGGAATGATTTTGGAGGAATGAAGGCAACATCCAAAGTTAAAGTGTATTTTGTTTCTGATCATTTTTGGCTATTGAAAGAGCCTACATGTATGAGAACATAGTACTGATCTTCCTCTCATTTTTGTTGTAATGTTACAGTAGATATATGGGTGCCATCAGGCTCTCGTAATCCCTATCCCTTTGGATATAAAGCACCCAATCCTCTTCTAGCAATGCAAGAAACTGGAGGATTTGGTTTGGATGGAAGATAGAAATTTCAGCAGTGCTGGATGGTTGGAACTGTGGAGTTGTTTACTTTAACCATCATGACAGCTAGAAGAGAATCTTAGCCTTCCTTGAGAAAATGGCAATTTTCCATGTTAACAATTTTCTAGAGAGTAATACTAGTGCTTTTTTGATGGTTCATTACTTACTGAGTTTCTGCTCTGCTCACCCTAGAACTACAAGTATGATTAAGACATAGGCAATCTCTCAAGGCACATACAATTTAGTAGACATGAAAGACATGTAAATACACAATTATAATTTAGGGTTGTAAGTGCTATAATAAAGGTAAGTGAAGAGTTCAAAGGGAGCAATGAGAAAGAAACATGTCATCTGTAACTTCAGGATGGGAAAGGGAAAAGGAAGTAGAGACTGTCCCAGAGGATATGACCCTGTGATCCACGGTGAATATACATCTCTATTACTGGCATTTTTAGAAAAGAAGGACAACCACATAAAAAGTGGACTTTAATGTTTTATTATCAGGAGTATTTAGTTGAAATCTCTTTTGATAAGGTCTCTATAACAAAAAACCTAGATATGTGTAACATAACCACTATAAAATATTTAAAACTTTTGTTAGTATTGAGGTATTTCTAGTTAAATACTAGAGGCTACTTTTTTTTCCTATGGATTTCTAGTAAGAAAAAAAAAAGAAAATTTCAACTTATACTATGAAGCAGATTCTATCTCATAAAGCTGAGTCTATAATAGATTTTAAAGCATAAGAAGGCTTTTGTTGAAAAAGCATTCCTATGAGAATAAAAACAAACATCAGAGTTGACTCTAGTGGGCATCTATTCTGGCAATCTTCAAAACAGCACCGAGGATTAAACAGGGTGCACTCACTGACTGGCTACTTCTCTCTCACTGTTGACCCTTGTTCTTTGAGGTTTCAACACTGACACGTATATAAAAACACTATGGAAAAGTCTGCACTGCTTCTACTCACTTGCTAACTGCTTTATGGCAAGTGGATGACTTCAGGTTGTTCAAACTATTGGTTTGGGCATTAAAGTCACTCAAAGAATACTGAGTTTACATTCTTGCTCACAGAATAGAGAGTTAATCTTGATCCATCAGTGGTGGACTTTACTGGGTCATTTTGCTGCTGATAACTGGGGCCATTTGCTGGATGTGATGTGCTATAAAATTATGGGGGTGGTAAGGAACCCAGTGATCACCTCTTTGTTGCTATGTCTCTGTAAACACAGAGGCTTTCAGTGGTATGGAAGGCAATTTGTGCCCACGGGGGCCTTTTATTTTGGGCCTACCTTGCACAAATTAAGCTCTTTGGTTTAATTTCTTTGGTTTCCACAGTTTGAAGTGAGTCTATTTTAATCTTTTTATAAAATTATAATTGAGGTTGCCATCTGTCCTTTCTGCAAACTGAAATTTCAATCATGGCATATAACAATGTTAGAGTTGAGGGAATCCCATAGGGTCCATTGGAACAAAAAGCAATGTGTGTTGAAGACATCTTCCAATCCTCCTCTTACCACTGGAGAAAGAACTCTGACCTTAGTCGTTTTCATTGACTGACCTAAACACATTTTCAACATCTGATTGGTGGAATCACATTAACTGACATGCTTCACTA